AGGAGGAGGAGGAGGAGGGCAAAGAGGGTAAAAAGAGGCCATAGCATAAGTACACGCAATAAGGATAGCTGTTTCGGCAAAATTCAGCAGTCGTTTTATGAAGAATCAACCCAATGAAAAAGGTTGCGGATGGCAAGACAATGACGAAAATGCTAAGCTTTCAGGTTTCGAAATGTTCGGTCTGGCTAATTCATGAACAAAAATTAAATTAAAGTGCCAAAGGCGGTGGAAAGGAGTTTTCCATTTTTCGCGGTCAGGCAAGTAAGGGATGGCGCCAAAGGTGGCGGTAAAAAAAAAAACAAACAGATACATGATACCCAAACCAGGAGTGCCTCCACCGGGTCCAGTCCACCCCTCAGCCAAAAACGTCTGACTGGAGGCCGCCGATTTTTGACTGTCATTTTTCACGTGGGCTTAGCTGGTTCTCAGCAAACTTAATTTAACACTGCAATCACAGGAGGCATCCTATAGGTTTGATTGGCATCGTCCGGGGTGATTTCTTGACTACGCTGAGAAGCCATACGGCGGACATAAGCACTAAAAGACGCGACCACTATCTTATTGACTTGAAACAATAAGTCGTTAGAATAGGTTGGCAGTGTAATAGGGAAACTGTAAATGACTGAGTACTATCCCATTCGGTACTGAGTCATACAGGCGTCCGCATTTATCTCCAGGGCGTCGAAATATTCCTAAAAGCTAATAGGCGACGTAAATATAGGCACCCTAAAGCTACCGAGTTAATTGAATCGCAGTGGTAAATCGCTCAACTGTTCCGTGCAAATACCGACAACCCAGTATCCAATTACACAGCAGTCTGGGCAGAGGGATCATCAGACACATAGGTCACGTCATCCAACCGCTACCAATACTATGCCCGAACAGCCTCCACTAGCGAGTACTTGAAACTACCTAGTCTTGAAACTCCCTTTACTACTACTTGCTCACTATTATTTGGTGTTCTGTCACATACAGATATCAAGCTAAGTCACAAACTTCAAACTCGGGTTCGCGGATCCTACTTAGCGTGATAGTGTCTTAAAAAAGGTGACTTCTGAAAGGGCCGAGACAAAAATTTAAGGCATCAGAGGAACGAAAGAGATAAAGTAACCGCTGTCACAGAAGAAAATTCGCATAGCAGCAGCAATTTCGATTTAGGATGGAGAGGAGAACCCTACCCTCTGTGTTTGCAAATGAAACCAAGCGCCTCAGAGCCGACAATATGATTGGACGGATGGCCTTTGAGTTGATCAGGCCGTTTACGAGTCGACCACCCAGGCCAGAGTCAACTAGGTCAGACCATCGGGAGGGCGGCTTCCGGGTGAAAGTAAGCAGGACTTCCCAGGTCTGACGGGCAAGGATGACACCAGAGTTCAGGATGGCAGACAGTGGCACAAACGGTCTTGAGCCAGCACCGCTGGCACCCACTTTTCGAGAGAACTTATTAGCGGCAGCCGCCTTGGCAACCGCCACACCCCGATCCGCCAGCGGCAGGAGGGTATTGAAGAAGAAGGCTAAACTGCAGGGACGTGAAGGTCGGGCTCGAGCGAGGAGGGGCAAAAGCCACGACCGACGTAGTTCAACAGAACCAGATTCTCTGAAGCAAAAAGGAAACGACATCTGTGACGCGGATGTAAAAAGCGCTCGACTTTCCAAAGTAAGTGGGTTGAATTGACGAGACGTGGGGAGCAGAGAATAGAAGCTTGGGTAGAAAATACTATGACAGTATCTACGTATGTGTATATTAGGTGTATTGGCTCCTAAAACGGGCCACGCGGTATATGCGCTGGACCAACACGGGAACTACATCGGATTCTGCTAGGCGTTATCGGGAATGCACGCCCATAACAAATGCCAGCATTGGAAGCGTAGTGGCAGGTCCAGTTGCCAGTCCACTCAGCGCCAGTTGGGGTCCGTGTCGCTCCTCCCCCCCCCCCCCCCCCCCCCC